AGACTGAACGATTAAATCAACAAACATTAACTTTAAATCATATTACAAGGTTTAAAAATGATAAGTTAAAGGAAATTATTCAGAAACTTTTCARGTCGGATGAGAACAAAGTTCAGTTTGAATCTGTTAGAGCTCAAAGCTTCTGCTGAGGATGACTCTCCACCACACCAAGCTTCAGCTCTACGTCTGTAAAACGGACCCACTTGCAGTCGTTTTTATGTTTGCTCCAGTATGTTAGCTGTGGCTGCCATATTAAATCGATTTGATTCCAAACACAAAACGTTTCTTCGTGGATGTTCGCTGATTTATTTCTGGGGGTTTCGTTAAAATCCTCCTGCTGGTTTGTGAGATATTTAGCTAACAGACGAACAGCGATGACACCCATGGATACTGCTGTAGTTTAAAAGGAAAATATATCATTTAGAATAAAACACTCGGAGTACYCGGTGGGGATCACTCTCTGCTACAAACACACCAAATTTCAGCTAAATATCTTTAAAACTGATTGACTTGCAGATATTTTTGTGTCAGCTAAATTCGATTAGCTGTGGTGGCCATCTTGAACGTTATCGACTCTGAAACTTAATCAGCTCTCGATAAAAATCCAAGAATTATTCATTCAAAGTTTTATTAAAATCTGCCCATTGTTTGGTGAGATATTTTGCTAACAGACAAACATGGTTTACGCCAACATTTTACGCTGTAGTTTAAATTTAAATATTTTGCGTAGAATGAAACGCTCAGAGTAAGTGTTGAGGATGATTCTCAGCTACTACCACACCAAGTTTCAGCTAAATATTTACAAAACTAACCAATTTCTGAGCGTTTTTGTGTTTGCCAGATTTAGTTAGCTGTGGCGGCCATCTTGAAATAGTGATTAACTCCGGAAGTTAATCAGCTGTAGTCGGCCATCCAGTAATTATTTCCTGACAGTTTTAATAAAATCCGTCTGATAGTTCGTGAGATATTTTGCTAACAGACAKGCGGCGCATTSAGGTCGTGTGTCTTTAAAAGCGATCTGACAGAATTCACCTGTTCCTTCTTTTAATTACGCTGAAAACAAATCAGCCAATCAGCGCGCGGCGCAGCCGATCAATCAATCAAAGCAACAGATCGATCTTTTCCTGCGCGCTTCCTGCAGAGTTTTGAGTCTCGTGCAGCTCGAGCGGCAGTTCCGGTTCTCCTACAGACGGTGGCCGCACGAGCCCACTCCGCACACACACACACACATACACACACACCGACACACACACACATCGGAGCGGGAGCCGCGCGCTCCAACACAACCTCCACCTTCACCGGGGGATCCGCCGCAGCCGCAGCCGAGCGGGGCGCACCGAGAGCCGGCTGAGAGGAGCCGCTCTGCCCGGGGAGGTGGTACTTCCTGAACACGGAGCTGCTTTTTTTTCTTCTTCTTCTTTTTTTGAGTCTTTTCTTTTCTCACAGCCGGAAAGAAGAAGAAGAAGAAGAAGAAGAAGAAGAGCTCGGACTGGAAAACAAACACCTCCCCCTTTTTTATTTTATTTCCTGTCAGTTTTTTTTTCTTCTTCTTTTGGACCCCGACCGAGTCCAGAACCGAGGATGGATCAGATCTGAACTGGTTTTACTGGATTTATTTCGCTTTTTTTTTCTTTCTTTGGAGGAAAAACCAAAAAGAGAAAAAGAAGAAGGTCCAAAGCCGGGAGGAGCGGTGCGCGCAGACAGCTTCTCCACTCTCTGTCTCTCCATCCATCCCTCATCCATCCCTCATCCATCCATCCCTCATCCATCCATCTGTCCTTCATGTCTGTAGGTCCTGTGGGGAAGATGCAGCACCAGCAGCGGATGGCAGCTCTGGGGACGGACAAGGAGCTGAGCGACCTGCTGGACTTCAGCGCGGTAAGAGCCGCAGCTTCTCCCCGCGGAGAGGAGCCCCAACCTGGAGCCACCACTTTTTTTTTTACTTTTCTGCACTTTATTCATTAAAAAACAAAAAATCAATAAGTTATATCTTTTCCCTGCAGAGTAACTTGTGTGCAAATCTTGTTTTGTGTTTTCTGTGTGCAGAGAAGCTGCATTAGTAATTTTGTTGTCTTGTAGATGCCAAACAGCGATTTGAAAATGTTCCCAACATCCATGGTAGTYTATCTCATTTAAGTCCTTTTTTTATTTCTTCCTTTCATGTGATTTATTCTTTTATTTTGAATTCTTGTAGAAAATGTTTAGTTTTGTACAGATTTGTTACAAAAGCTGCGTTTATTTGGTTGTTTTTTTTTTAAGTGTTGTGTTGTGACAGGAAACCCACCTCCTCCTGGGAGTAACTTTTATCAGAGGAGGAGGGAAAATGATTAGAAACACCCTAAAAAAACAGTGCAGGGATATAAAAATATGTCTGATTTATTTAAAACCTGCATTCAGAGCTCAGAAATAAACAAATTAAAATGAATCATTTGAGGCTCGACGTTTCAAAATAAAATAAAAACCTGCAGAACAACGAAGAGGCGGCGAGATCTCAGACTTTAACCTTCCTCGAAGAAAAAGCCCAGAACCCCGAGCTGCCTCTGCAGATGAACCCTGTCAGTAAAATATCTGCAGGATCTAAAATCCCAGTGATGCAATCGAGACGTTTGGAGAATTATTTAAAATCTGCGGCGATGAAACAAAAGAAGGCAGCAGATAAAGCAGGTCTGCTTTCAGAATAAAAGCTCTAATTTATGCGATTCTCCGTCTTTCCTGCGGGTCTCGGCTCAGACGGAGGCCGCTGATCAGTTGGATCTGTTTGTCCCCGCAGCCTGGGAAATTWAAAAAGGGTTTTACAGGGTTCTGGGCCCGACGTGGATCCGGATGGGTTCCCTGCAGGTCTGGGTTCCTCTCGTTGCGTCTCGCTCCGTTTAGTTTTCCGGTAAACGTTCAGTTTTAGACGCTGTGACTTTTTCTTTTCTACGTTTTCAATCGGATCGTTTCATTCCAGACATCTGGCAACAGAGACTCTGAAGAACCCATCGAATAATAATAATAATAATAATAATAATAATAACGGTCCCATCTGGACTATCCCATGACCAGAATCAGGTACCTGAAACCAGAAGAGGACGTCTTGAGGTCCAAACGCTTTGACCAGGAAGAACTACAGGTCCTCACAAACCCAAATAATCTCTGGGTTCAGACTTTATCGGGTGAAGGAGTTAGGATTTGAGTCAAGAACAACGGCACCGGGGGGCTGAGACCGGACCGTGGACTCTGTTCTGGTGATTTGGGGTCTTGGTTCCATTTCTAGGGTGGTCTTCAGGTTTCCCTGGTTAGATTTGTTGGATTATGTTTCTAACTCGACTCAGATCTCTGTCTTTAAACCGTCGCTCCAGATTGGCCTGTTGATGTTGGACTTGTTATGTTCTGATTAAGGACTTGGGTTCTGGACCTTCTTGTTGGTCTTGGACTTGATTGAACCCTGAGGTTTTGTCTGTAGATTATCTTCAGACCTGTTGGTCTAAACTTGGGATCTGACTTGGATTATTTCTGTCTTGTTTTGACTCAGAATTTAATCTGAATAATCTGGTCCTGATGTTGGACTTGTTGCTTTCAGATCCAGGACTTGGGTTCTGGACCTTCTTGTTGGTCTTGGACTTGATTGAACCCTTAGGTTTCGTCTGTAGATTATCTTCAGACCTGTTGGTCTAAACCTGGGACCCGACTTGGATTATTTCTGTCTTGTTTTGACTCTGAATTTAATCTGAATAACCTGGTCCTGATGTTGGACTTGTTGCTTTCAGATCCAGGACTTGGG